TAATAAACTATGAAAAGGTAATTCAAGATAAAGCTTATATCCTACGTGCAATATTCGTTAAGATGTTCTGGAAATCTTACTCGTCTTCCAGAACGCGTTGTTTTAGGTTTATTTATCGACGTTGACGAAGTATCAAGTTGTGTGTCGGTTGTCGTGTAGGGTACTACGAGTGTAGTAGCTGTGTCGTTTGCTTATATCGAAGGAAAATCGACGTAGCTAGGGTTTCCTTCTAGGTACGCAGCTTTGAGTCGATTGATACTGATGCTATCTTTCGTACCGTTCTTATCTACTACATAGTACTTAGGTTCGCGTTGAAAAACTTTGAAGGGTCCTTCGTATGCTGATTCGAGGGGTCGTCGATGTGAGTCTCGACGAACGAAGACGTGTGTACTATGTCGTAATTCGGGTTGAACGAAAACATCAATTGATTGAGGTCGAGTGTGAGCAGGTTTAACTGAACGCATAGCGTTTGTAAGCCTACTTGTGTAAGAGTTTAGATCCATGTTCAATGTAGAAGCTGAAGGATCTACGAATTCTCCTGGGAGTCGGAGTGTCGTTCCGTAAACGAGTTGAGATGCCGTGTATCTAATGTCAGCTTTCACTGCATTGCGTATACCTAGCAAGACGAGTGGAAGAGCGTCTGTCCACTGTGAAACGTTTGAAGCTGATAATGAAGATTTTAATTGTCGATGAAAACGTTCTACCAACCCGTTTGCTTGTGGGTGGTAGGCGGTCGTTCGGAAACGCGTGATTCCTAATAGTGAGGTGAGACAACGGAAAAGTCCAGATTCGAATTGGCGTCCGCGGTCTGTAGTGATTGTGCAAAAGCAGCCGAAATTTTCTACCCATCGTTCGACGAAAGCGCGGGCCACGGTTTCAGCAGTAATGTCCTTAATCGGTACTGCTTCTGGCCATCGAGTGAAACGGTCTACGCATGTTAGGAGATATGAGTATCCGTTCGAGTCGGGTAAGGGTCCTACCAAATCTAGATGGACGTGGTCGAATCGAGCGTCAGGGGTTTTGAAAGAACCTAAGGGACATTTGTTGTGTCTGATTACCTTAGATTTCTGACAGCTTACACTTGAGCGTGACCACTCCCTCACGTCTTTATTCATGCCAGGCCAACAAAAGCGTTCGGCTATAAGTTTGACGGTTGCACGAGCACCTGGATGAGAAAGATTGTGCAACGTATTGAAGACGTTGCGTCGATAATGTTTTGGTACAATTGGACGATCCCTACCTGTAGATGTGTCACAGAGTAAGGTTTCCTTACCTGTTCCCATCTGCTTAATACTTAGTTTTAGAGTTGTCGAGGATAACTCATGCTGAAGATCAATGTCATCTTTTTGAAGCTGAGCGAGTTTAAGAAGGTCGATTCCTTGGAAACTGTTCAAGGAATTTATTCGAGACAAGGCGTCTGCGACTACATTGTTAGCTCCAGAAATATGTTGTATGTCTGAAGTAAACTGCGAAATGTAGTCGAGTTGTCGAGACTCTCGCGGTGAGTACTTGTCTGAAGATGAACTTAAAGAGAAGGTAAGAGGTTTGTGATCGGTAAAAAGCGTGAAGTCTCTTCCTTCGATGGAATGTTGAAAATGCCGTACAGCACAATACATAGCTAGGAGTTCCCTACCGAACGTGCTGTACCTAGATTCCGCGTCTAGCAACCGTCTCGAGAAAAATCCTAAAGGTTGCCACGAGTTGTTAACCCATTGTTGTAAGACTGCTCCGATTGCTGAGTCGGATGCGTCTACTGCGATACTAATGGGCGCTTGAGTGTCCTGATGAGCAAGCAGGGTTGCTTTAGCGATGTGTTCCTTAACTGTGGAGAATGCTTTACGGGCTATGTCGTCTAAACTAATTGATTTCGCATTTCAACGAAGCTGATCGGTTAACGGTTTCATTAGGGATGCGCATTTGGGTGTGAACCGTCAATAGAAACTTACAAGTCCGTTAAAAGTTCGTAAGTGCTTGATCGTGGTTGGTTCTGGGTAATCCAGAATGGCCGCCACTTTGCTTCTAAGTGGTCGGATGCCTTGAGCATCAACGGTGTGTCCTAGGAAGTCTAAGGAGTTTGTTCCGATTTGGCATTTCTGTATGTTGACAGTAATGCCATGCCTTTGGAGTCGATCGAAAACAATGTCCAGATGCTTGAGATGCGATTCTCTGTCCGGACTTGCTATTAGACAGTCATCAACATACGCATGTACGAAGTTGAGACCTCGGAAGACGTCGTCTATAAACCTTTGGAAGGTTTGAACCGCGTTTCTTAAACCAAAAGGCATTCGTAGAAATTCGTAAAGACCAAAGGGAGTGATGATGGCGGTTTTAGGAATGTCGCCAGGTGCCATCGGGATTTGGTTATAAGCTTTAACCAAGTCGATTTTCGAAAAGACAGTTGTACCTTTCAAGGTAGCTGTCAAATCGTGAATATGAGGCAGCGGGTAACGATCGGGAATGGTTTTAGCATTCAGACGCCGATAATCACCAGTTGGCCGCCAATCATTGCTGTCCTTTTTAGGGACCATGTGCAATGGGGATGCAAATGGACTATTCGATGGTCGAATTATCCCTAGGTCCATCATGTGGTCGAATTCGATTTTAGCTAACCTAAGCTTCTCGGGGGCGAGTCTTCGAGCTTTCGAAAATACAGGTGGTCCTGTAGTCGAGATGTGATGTGTAACATTGCTGGTTACACAAGGCAATTTCGATTGCGATTGGTATATCCCGGGGTATTTGTCGAATACAGATTGGTACAATGGGTCTATGGCGTGTTTAGTCGTGACTGGGGATAACCTGCAACCAGAAGAAGGAGTTACGCAAACGGATAACTTAGTGTTTCCGTCTATTAACTTTCGTGAGCGTGTGTCGATGAGTAGATTGTGGTGTTGTAACAGGTCTATACCAATGATTGGCATAGAGACATCTGCAACCACGAAAATCCAGTGTATGGGTTTGCGTAAACCCACGTTAAGGTAGACGTACCTTTTACCGTAAGTAGCGATCGGTTTTCCGTTTGCCGCCTGTAAACTTAAAACAGACTCGCGAAGTCTGTCGTCGGGATGTGCTGGAAGAACGCTAACTTCTGCGCCAGTGTCGACGAGGTAGAGAACTTTCGTAGTCACATCCGTGACGTATAACAGACGGCTGTGTTCGCCGGCTACGGTTGCCGTTAACGCGTGCCGGCTGGGAAGTTTCCCGAAATCTTATTCGTGTCAGTCGATTTTGAAGTCGGATAATTGCAAGGTTTCCTGCAATTTCTGGAAAACTTACCGTACTGGTTGTGATACCAGCACCAGTCGGGATTGTCTGTCTCTCGTGGTCGAGAGCCAGATCGCTTACGTGAGACGCTTCTACGCGGGGTTTTTGACCGACTACGGTCATTGCGAGCTCTAAGATATCGTGTAAGCGTGTGACATAGTTCGGCCATGTCAGTCGAGGTCGATTGGGGTTTTTCCTTGACGGAAAAAACCTCGGCCTTAGAAGATCTAGTGATTTCCAAGATTCGATCGGCAGATGCAGCTAGTTCATCTATGGCATTGTTTTGAAATGAAACAAGCACTGCCTGCACCTGTTGAGGGAGTTTAGATAAGAAAAGTTGTCTAAATAGGCCATCATCGAAAGTTCGTTGGCCGATGACTTCTCTCATTCTAAGCAACATGTCCGTCGCAGAACCATGTTGCAAGTCGATGTTATGGAAGAGTTGGTCTAACCGTTGTCGATCAGTTAGGTCTCCTCGTTTTAAAATCGATAGCTTAAGCGTTTCGTAAGGTTCGGGAACATCACTAGTGAACATACTAGGTGTTACGTACCTGTTAAACTCGCGCGGTAACGCCTTAACTACCGCGAGGAAACGTGTGCGCGAGTCCGTGATTCCGTGCATGCTAAAATCGGCTTCTGCATAGCAGAACCAGGACTCGATATTGTCGGGCCAAAATGGCGTTAACTGAATCGAAATAGGGGGAATAGACTTAAACTTAAGAACCTTAGGAGAGTGTTCCGTCATAGTAATATAGATAACGAAAAATGTCTAAAATATATCCGAGAAAAAAAATTCGCGAAAAAAAGTATATCACAATATATAAAATTCAAATAAAGAATAACAATGAATAATAATATTCCAAAATGGAACAGACTCACAGTATATTGACTTGGTGTACCAGATCACGTCGGTCTCACCAATGATAATGCAACGGATATTCTAGTTTTACAACTAGCTACCAGTAGCACCTTCTATATTCGATTGTTACCAGTCAGATAGAAATCAGAAGTCAGACGAGAAGAGGCAGGAAAGATATATTTGATTCGTTACCAATATATCGAGGACCTTTTCTATGAGCTGGCTAATGAAACGTAGGAGCTGTGTCCCACGCCGTGTTGCAACGTGATCTGGTGCGGATGCATGACCGAAAGCCTTCAGCTAAACAAGTCCACTTAAACAACGTGGTCAGCATCCAATGTCGAACACTTAGTGAACTATTGATTTTGGGGAATTATTTACAGCTACAGTGAAATCGTTTTGTCCGGAAATCCCAACGTCTTTATTAAGCTATATGCTTCTTTTCAGACGAATGTAGTGAAGTTTTTAACTGCCGGCGAAAGCGTCCTACCAACTCGTTCGCTTGTGAGTGGTAGGTGGTTGTGTTTGAATCGTGTTATTCCTAATAGTGTAGTCAAACTATGGTAAAGTCTAGATTCGACGAGTAATCATATTCTGGAATTCGCTGCCTCCTGAGGCGATCCAAGCGACTTTTCAAGAGTTCTTTGAGAGGAAGCTGAAGATGTTTTCGGCGACATAGGACAGTATTTTTCCGATGTTTCCCAATATTTAACTTTTTGCCGGTAAATATACCTAGTACCTAGCTGGAGACACCGATTATTGACTGCTACGATATACGGCAGTTCATTAGGCATAATTCCTTCTGCTTCGTTTACAACCACTTAAAGCATTCGAATTGTGACCTTTGTACATAATTTTCCATCAAAATGGTTTCTTAAGCCTCAAGTGAAAATTTGTTTAAAATAATCAGAACATTTCGTATATGTAATATTCAGAGTCTCACGTTTTCAAATCCTATGTCTCTCGGTAGTGAGGCTTGTATTTTGAAGCTCAAAGAAGAAGTATATCTGTTACATGATGTTGTAGAAAGAGTCAACAAACGCGCAAATATGAAAGTAGCGTACTCTTGGAAGTTTCCCGGAAAATCTGCTTTTGAAACAAAAATTCTTCCTGTTTTATCTAAATGCAATTTCTCTACATCAAACAAACCTTCAAATACTATGCTACATGTGTTTTTACTGGAAATGATAATCGACAGGTAGCTGAGAATTTTGAATAATGAGTTATGATTTTGTTAGATGTTTGTTAATATTTCAAATCCTTAGCCATCTATGTAAGACAGTTTGTCATCATCTATGCTCATCTAACGAAGACTCAAACTCATTAAGTTCCTGCGTCCATGAACATGTTTCAGTCGTTTCTTACTTAATCAGCCTGATTAGTGTTAGTAAGATGTGTCTTTCACCATTTAAACTTTTCAGATGCAGAAACAAAGGAAGCAGTATATCTTAAATATGATGAAGAAAATCATGAAACGTCTTATGAGGTTGAAAGATTCGCGGATAGAAAGATTGCTGCAGATGCCATTAAGTGGATTGCCGATGTTGAACGCTATTATAAGTCTTCATCCCAAGCACCTTCAGAGTTAACTGATAAGAATGGTGAGTTGGTAACCAGATCGCAAGGAACACAAGCTACAATCTCTGAAAACCAAGGCGGAAACTTCTCACAACTGTTTCAATCCGTGATTCAAGTGAGCATATGGGTGAAAGTTTAGTCCAGTAAAGGTTTTATCAAGGTGTTTAGTGAAACCAATGGACACATACAATCTGCCTTCTGAAACGGGACGCTTCATAAGTGATGCAAAGCACTTACCAGGGTGGATAGGATGCAAAGCAGACGAGTCTAGGTCTCTTTTATCGTCTGTCGAGCGAGACATTACACGTTTGATCAAATATTTGGAAACAAACAGTTCACCAATAAAAATAATGGAGGAACAATTAAATTTAGTGAAGAAAGAGAACGTTCAGCTTTCCAAAGAAATTTTAGATAAACAAGTAGGCATGTTTTATATAAATCTGATCATTTCCTGTAGCCTGATTAAAACAACTTGAAAATTATTCATGTGACTTACAAACCAATTGAAATACCTTCCCTATATTTGCTTATACAAATTTACCTAAGTACTGGGAACCTAATCCGTAATATTGAAAGTTGCACTTTGTATAACTGAAGTTTACTTAAGTTTAAGACATGCCATATGAACAAAGCCAAACTGAAAATACAGTGATATTGTACATTCAAGAGCAATTTGCGACTTGAGGTTTTCTAAATTCTTGATAATTTAGTATACTTAATCCAAATCAAATAAAAAATATTTTTCTTAAAATTCAGTAACTCTATTTTTTAAGTTGTTTGAAAGTCTGGTCGCACAGATTAGAACTGTCACATACGGTTGAAAATTTCAGAGCCGTGCAGTTACACTTAGAGGTATGAGACATATTAGCCTGTTAATACGAAGTTTATGATTTTCTGTGTGAAATACCGACTGGATATCAGTGGATTAATCACATAGTTATATGTGGAACGAGTACGCAGGTCAACGGTCTACCTTCACAGCTACGGACTCTATAACATAAATCTTAATCGTTTTTCTTTTTCCGAGGAAATTTCCTTTTACAAAAAATAAAGATAAATAAAGTTCTAATTTATAGTCTTAGGTTTACTTACGATAGATCAAAATTCCATTCATTACATTTAATTTTTTATTTGCCCCACCTTAAGCTCCAAAGTCTAGAAACATGTTTACGAACCTTTAAAACCGAAGTTCCCGTCTAATTATGATCTAAGGTCAATAGATTTTGTCTTATTATTTGAGCGTAACCTGACCACGATTCTAACTATGAATTGGAATTCAAAGCGTAAAAGAACGCATTAAAGAATTACGGTCATCAGTATTTTAAACATTGTCCAGAAAAATCAAAGTAATGCTTAGACTTATTATCCCATTAACCAACCTTTGCCTAAGTAGTAAACATAAGTAGGATTGATGGCCTCAGTTTCAAAGTTGGTGCAATTATATCCCACAAAACCCACTCATACTTCGAGTTGATCCGGTCTTCTGACTAATGCAATAACTGTCTTTAAGTTACATAAGATACTTTTCTGTTGTGGCATATTACTTATTAGTTCATTAACCGTTGGCTGATATCTTTTATTTGAGGAAGAAAACCTCAGCCTATATAATCAAAAATCTACAAATTAAGTGTAAATAGCCAGATTTTTTCATACCTACTTCAATGTCTAATGCTTACTGCAGTATGATTTTATTGGAAGTAAGATATGAGTGGCCGGATGAATACGCGGCATTAGTTGTTAGTTTTGCCAATCACAGAAATTGCGGACTTTCAGAATGAGGTTCTCCTGATAATCCTGGACAATTACCGGAAACCCATGTGATATGGATTAAAATCGGTTCAAGTAGCGCCGACGCATTCGTATATTTGTCTCTCCATAGTTCTTGACATTCGGTATTATTTTATATAGCCTGCTCTCCTTTTTATTTCTTTCTTGAACTTCATTCTCAGGGTTCAGGTATCAGTTCTACTTTGTTTAAAATTGAAAATCTCTAAATACAAAAACTAACGTTCTTTAAATTTTTTAAATTGCTATCCATCCTACTACTTATCGAATAGTCTATATGAAGTTTGTGTATTTGTATTAGAAGAGTTTACATATTTTGCTTACCAAAATTGTTTATTTTAACACTATCCCATTTTAAAATTCGCAGTACGAGTTCAATACCGTTCATGAAAAATTGTCCAAAGAAATAAGAAACTTAAGTAAGAGGAATATTGAATTAAAGGAAGAAAACACAAATATCAAAACCGAAATAGAGAATTTACATAAAATGATAAAGACTAAGGAATCTCGAACACTCGAATTAGAAAATCAATGTGAAGTAATAAAAAACAACATAGGTAATGTTTGGATTAGATATAATAAATAATTTAAAACGATTCCATGTGTAAAAAATATGATTTCAATAGTGCAATTTTTTTGTCTAATTAAATACGACCACATAAAAATGTTTGGTAAATTTTTTTAACTTAGATATATATATATATATATATATATATATATATATCACTCTTGTTAACTTTCTTCGAGGCGCACAGGCCGCACACCAGCATTTTTCATCCAACTCTGCCCTGGGCAATCATTTCCAGTTTCTATTCATTCTTTTCGTGTATGCTTGCAATTCTCAACACAAAGAGTGTTCTTTGGTCTCTCTTTTTTCCATTTCCCTTCTGGATTTCAAGTTAGCGCTTGCTTCATGATGCAGCTTGGTGGTTTCCGTGATGTATGTCCTATCTAGTTGCAGCGTTTTTTCCTAATTTACTCTTCATCTGGAAGCTGATTTGGACTCTCCCACAGTAGGCTGTTGCTCATGGTATCCAACTGACAGATCTAGAGTAGCTTGCATAGACGGCTGTTTGTAGATACCTGCACACTTTTGATGATGATTATGGTGATCCTCCAGGGTTCATCTTCATACAGTAAAACTTCTTGACGTTTGTATTGAAAACTTCGACTTTGATTTCGGCTGACAGTCGTTTTGAGTTCCATATATTCCTCAATTGTAGGGATGCTCCTCTTGCTTTGTCAATCCTCGCCTCTACGTCTGCATCAGATCCTACGTGTTTATCTATTATGCTGCCCAGGTACGTAAAACATTTCACCCCTTTCACAGCTTCTCCATCAAGTGTGATTTACTTGATGTTCACTACGTTGTATTCCAGGATATTATTTTTTTTCGTTGTGCATGTTGAGGCCTACTGATGCAGAGGCTGTTGTTACATTAGCTGTCTTCGCCTTCATTTGTTGGTGTGTATGGAATAAAAAAGGCCAGGAATTCTGCGAAGTTCAAATCATCTAGTTGCATCCAAGCTGTCCATTGTATTCCTCGCTTCCCTTCAGATGTCGTGGTCTTCATAATCCAGTCAACCAACAGAAGAAAGAGAAAGGGGGAGAGTAATAGTAGTGTGACGCCTCTGTAGTTCCCACACTTGATCAGATCTTCCTTCTTTGGTATCTTGATGAGATATTCTTCTTTCCAGTCTGTCGGCACTTGTTTTCCCTCCAAAATCATCCTGAATAAAATGTGGAGTATCCTAGCATTTGTTTCCATGTCTGACTTCAGTACCTCATATGGTATATTGTCAGGTCCTGCTGCTTTCACACTCCTGATTTATCTGCTGATCATCCTGGTTTCTTCAACCGTTGGTGGAGTGGCATCTAGAGGAAGGTCTGTGTGTGCTGCTCTGAGGTCCTATGGATTCAATGGAGCTGGTCTATTCAAGAGTTCCTCAAAGTGTTCTGCCCATCTGTTCCTCTGTCCTTGAATCTCAGTGATTGGCTTGCCTCCTCTGTCCCTCACTGGTCACTTTGGTTTACCATATTTCCCTTCCAGTTACACTGCTGTATCATATAGTTGTTTCATATTTTCTTCTCTTGCAGCTTTCTCCGCTGTCGCTGCTACGTTTTTCACGTATTTCTGCTTGTCAGCTCTAATGTTCTTCTTCACTTACCTGTTTACTCCAGTGTATTCAGCTTGTGCCTTGACTTTCTCTGTTCTTGTTCGAACGCTGTTAATTGCAGTCTTCTTGTTCTTCCTCTATTGGATCTTGTTCAGGGTTTCGATACAGATCCATTCCTTACGATGGTGCTTTTTGCTGTCCAGAACCTCCTAACACGTCAAAGTTGGTGCTTCTTTGACCCCCTTCTAGTTGTCTTCCATAGTAGTTTCTTCTTCTTTGAGTAGATCCTGTAAGACTTGGGACCTGTTGTTGAGAATTATCTTGAGTCCATTGAGTTTGTCAGTGTCTCGAAGAAGAGCTGTACCAAACATTTGCAACGTTGTCTCTTCAGTTTTCAAATGCCTCTTTAGCTTTAGTTTTATACTGACCGAAATCGGGTGCTGATCTGAAGCTATGTCAGCTCCTCTCTTGATTCTCACGTCTTTCATAGACCTTCTGAATTTTTTAGTGATGCAAATATGATCGATCTGATTCTCTGTAGTGTGATCCGATGACATCCCTGTAGCTTTGTGTAAGCGTTTGTGTGGGAATACAGATACACCTATAACCATTTTGTTGAATGCACATAAGTTTGCGAATCTCTCCACATTATCGTTCTTTTCTCCTAGTTCATGTCGTCCCATGATATCTTCATACCCGGTGTTGTCCATTCTGACTTTGGCGTTTATGTCTTCCATCAGGATGGTCAGTTCCTTTCCTTGTCACTTCTCTACGATCGACTGCAACCCTGCTCATAAAATCGATCCTCACCTTCTTCATTACTATCACTGGTTGGTGCATAACACTGGATAACATTCATTGTGATTCCCTCCTTCTTTGTTTAAAGAATGCTTTGATGGTTCTGGATCCATGAGATTTCCATCCTATAAGTGTATGTCGTGCTTCTTTGGACAGCACCAGAGAATTTCTCTCAGTGTGAGAAGTATTTTCATCTTCGTGATCAGAGTACAGCAGCATCTCTCCCGAATTTATCCTTTTCTGTCCAGCTTGGGTCCATTGAGTTTCACTGATTCTGAGAACCTACAAGTTATATCTTCTCGTTTCTGTAGTTATTTGACTGGTCCTTCCAGTATCCTACATTGTTTGGACATTTCATGTACCTATACTGAGTGCTTTTCTAGTTGTGAGAAGAGGCATCGACTTTTTGATATCTGAAGAATCTCGGCTTTCCTCATGAGAAGTCATAATTTTTCTACATGAAGATCCTTCAGCTTCCAGGACATATTTTAAATGGTTTAAATTGTTTATTCTGATTATTGTTTCTCTAGCAGATTTGATTTCTACTTGGTGGGTTTGCTGACCCTATGACCAACCCTCTTTTTTGTCCGGCTTTGGGACCGGTAGTAACCGTCAAAAGGCTATAGGCGGAGTTTATATATATATATTCTAAATTTTACTAATTGTAAGATTAAGGTTTTATTTACCGTCTATAACTACTTCATATATATTTTGGTCTTTAATCATCTTAGAGAATTTACAAAAGCTTTGTGATAGTGACACAATTCAGCCAGATGAAATCAACTTATCTTCGAATCCATCTTGTATCATTGAATCTTGTCTATTGAAATTTAGACATAAACTAGAAAATACTATAGATGAATGTCAGCGAATTTCAAAACTATTAGAAATGAAAGAAATGGAAAATCAAAATATGAATTCACAATTATCGGTAAACTTTAATTCTTTTTGGTTGTATATATATATTAATTAAAACTCTCAGTGGTCAAACAAGATCAGCCTAATCATACAAGTACTATGACAATTATTCCAAATTCTATAACTGCTTAGTGATTTGGATAATCAGTCAGTCAGCTATAACGTAGGACCAGCCACATTTATGCATCGGTCCAAGTTGCCATACCTCGTTAACACAAAAAGATGAACACCAAATTCATAGAAGTAGTTAATTTAGTGGTGGTAGTATATGAAAGATACATTGTATATAAGGATATAGTACGGGAAGGAAGACAAATGTGAAGCAATTTTAATCACAAGATTTAAGGGAAGGTAAAGAGTGTATACACCTACGCCATTGTGATCGATTCTGAGCCGTGTCACCTAGAGTCTCCAACCATTGGTTACGATAGTCACGCGGACCCCAACCAAGTAGTTTGCATCTGCCAACATGGCTCATTCTAGAAGTTAGTGACTTCAAGCACTGATGCCACGTTTTGGTTTGGCCACCCCTAACTTTTTTCCAACCATCTCCTACACTAGTCAGCATAGCGCGTCGTGGTAATCGATGTTCAGACATACGTAGCACGTGGCCTGATTTGCCATCATTTCCTAATACGAGTGAGTCAGTTTTCAGTGGAATTTCTTTCTTTAAACTGATTTGTTCGTTCGATTGAATCATCTAGGTCAAAGAACAGAACTCCACTAACATCATATAATTGAGCTATGATTATTCTCTATCATCTCATTTTAGCCCGTTTTTATTCAATAATTACTTGATAAGATATGAATTTCATTTTGATGTTTTGACGTTTTACTTTCTTCTTAGATGCTTACTACAAAACATGAAAAACTTTCAACACGACTAAATCAACTAACTACTCTTAATGAACAACTAGAAGAAGAAATTGCACTAAAGGAGAACTCAATTCAATATCTGAATTCTCAATTGACTAATTCTAATCAAAAAGTATCCGAAATAGAAAATTCCTTAAATGATATCAAAGTAAGATCATCAGTATTATTGCTTACCCTGGTTCTTTACCTGTTAATTAGAGTAAGTTAACAGAAAATGAAGACATTCGTAAATCAACTGAATTGAATCTTGAACAAGTTCAATTAGAAAACAAAGAATTACATGAAAAATTAAATAAATTAAATGAAGATATTTTAAATATGGCACAGTATCCAGATTTAAATGGACCAATCACGTTTGAGAATAGTAAGTTTTATATTATGTAACTATGATCAAGTTTAAATAATAGTTCAATATTATAATGGAATAAAACAGAAAGACAAAATAGAACAATATTAAATTTAAGATCAGAAGGGGTTTTGTGGAGATTTCAGTATTTTCATAGTTGAAATCATGAGTTAATTGAAGCTAGACTACCAATGAAAACCTGGATGGCCGTTTCGTCCTATTACGGAAATCCTTAGCAGTGCGCATCCACAATCTCGCCCCGTGAGATTCGAACCCAGGACCTATCAGTATCACGCCAGAGCACTTAACCGATAGACCACTGAGCTGGCATCCATCGTTGTTAATGTCTAACTTCAACCAATCCACGATTTTGAGCAACCGTTCATCAATTGTCTTTAGTGAGTTGATATCTCTACAACAGACTTGGTTGCGAGTGCGGTATCGTGGATGCGCACTGCTGAAGAGTCCCATAATAGGACGAAACGGCCGTCCAGTGCTTCCAGGTTTTCCATGGTGGTCTAACTTCAATTGACTGATGATTTCAACTATGAAAATATTAAATTTGTCTGAACTTATTTAACAGAATTAAATGAGCACATAAATTTTATGAAAATGATTTTCTTATCAAATTTAAGCAAAACAATAATGAGATGAATTCAGTGTATTTCGTTGCTTTAGTCTCACAGTAAAAAAAAACAACTTAATTAATTCAAAATTTCAAATAAACTTAGAAATTAAGAAAGCGGAATGGTGGTTAGTTAGCAGAATCACTTAACTTGGAAATAAACACATCACAGATTCGAATCTCACTTTACTTTTTTCGGTATAGAAAGCTTGGTGGAACCATTGGGTCTGAAACAAACAGTATGATTGAAAGTTATCAATATAAACACCTAATTGAAAAATAAACCGAGTTCTAGAGACCATGAAATGATATTACTCCCATCCAAAGTACTGTAGGTTCTTTTGAATGCGCATTTCGTATAGGTCAGTTAGGTTTGAGGAGATTCTCATTAACAAGTGATATGATAGTTTTAAGATATTAGAAATAATTTCATTAAGTATCATGAAAAAAAGTATTTAAGGAAAGTGAGTTATAAAAATGTCTGGGCTGAACTCACGAAACTCTAATCTCAATTAAAATAAAGTAGTAGCTATGCATATTGTTGTTGGGATGATCCTGCAAATTTTTCGCAACAGACATGACAAGCTGAGGAAAACATTAAGAAGCATTTTATCCAATCAGCGTTTGATTAGAAGTTTTGCTAGAAATTTCGCGAAAATAAAAAGTCACATGTAGAGATTCTGATTGGCTGATTACTACACTGCTACTATGTTTAGTAGTATTCTAGAATTTTCGGGAAAACCCAAGGGCTTCTAAAATACTATAAAAATCCTATATTTTCTGTACATAAACGAACCTATGGAGTAAAGTGCTTCTCGCATATTTTGTGCCTTTTCTCTCGTGTTCAAGTCGCTGTGTAGTTCTAGTTTGAGGGTACAAGACTAGCTTAGGATCCGAATATAGAGTTCAATCAACAAGACTTATCAATTGTTCATATCTGTTATTAAGACAGTTGGTGGTCAACTAGAGAAATCTTCCATTATAAAACTGATGTTTTAACCTACTCATTGCTATAACTTGTTCAGGTTTTTAATATTTGTATTAAATCAATCCAATCATTTGATTGATTATGAATACAGTGGTCTTGAGTGCTTGAAGTCACTAACTTCTAGTGTAAGCCATATTGGCGGATGCAGACTACTTGGTTGGGGTCCGCATGACTATCATAACCAATGGTTGGAGACTCTAGGTGACATGGCTCAGAACCGATCACAATGGCGTAGGTGTATACACTCTTTACCTTCCCTTAAATCTTGTGATTAAAATTGCTTCATATTTGTCTTCCTTCCCGTACTATATCCTTATATACAATGTATCTTTCATATACTACCACCACTAAATTAACTACTTCTATGAATTTGGTGTTCATCTTTTTGTGTTAACGAGGTATGGCAACTTGGACCGATGCATATATGTGCTTGGTCCTACGTTGTAGCTGACTGACTGAATCATTTGATTCGAAGAAATCGAAATAAACAGTTAAACTCACTTTAAATAGATAAGATACTTAAAATACATAAACTTACACTGAAAATAATTTTAGAAATAATCACAGTTCAGATTATAATTTTACTAATAAAGCAAAACATAACTGTAAATATTTCAGTAAAATCAAACACTACTGAATATCTTGGATGACTTTTCAGACAATCAGAAAAGAATCTTTGATTATGAAGAAGTCAACTGAAGGTGGATAGATAGTTGCAACATGATTAATAATCTCCCACATGTTGAGTTATCGATTATAGTCAACGAGAGGTGGTTATGCGTGAGTATTAGAAGTTGGGCTATAGTTATATTGAATACCCTAATTATAACACTTGAGTGTTAGTGTTAGAAGTGTTTTGGATATGATCTATGGTTAGGTTAAGCAGTCAGGTATAAGATATGTGGTTGGAGTGATAGATTACTGTTTATTTACAAAACCGCCATTGACTACGCCTTGAACCTCATCAAATATGTCAGATGTAATCTGCATAAGGAGTAGGTATTTATTGAAGTTTAGCTTACACGTCATGTCACATTCACTAATAGGAGGTGCAGAAGATATTTTCATAAATTTTAAGCATTATAAGAACTAGATCTAGACAGTTTTTACATGGATTTTACTGAAATACATTCGGTTCCATCTTACATCTGATTGTTTTGCACGAGGCTATCAGTATAGTTTAGATTTGAGAATATTTCTTGAAATTGTCTATCTTATAATTACAAAACTGATTTGTTATTTATTTGGTATTTTTCGAATAAATTCAACTTAAAACATGAAAAAAGTGTCTCATTTATTCTCTCATTGGCCTCATAAAGTGTAGGGACTCTATGGTCCTACATATACTTCAGCTTGTCCTCTTTTCAGTTATTCTTAGATCTCAGGTTATGGAAATAGTGAAATACCCAAGGATGTTCTTCCTGTGTATTTTGTATACTCCCAAAAACAATAAATAGTGTATAGCCCCCATATTTATGGATGTTGTCTTTTTCTTGAGTAAAAATATGAATCAGCGTCGCCCGTTTTCGCATTAGTAAGTTCTGAAATCTGATTGGTTTAGGGACCTATAAACCCCTTCCATTAGTTGTTCAAGAGCAGCAACACTGCAGACGCTTGTTGTCCGAAGGAAACACCTTACTGACATCACACTCTTCTACAGTCAGCAGTACGACGTTGCCCTCGGTTCTTAGTTTGCTGCTTTTAGTCTTACCGTTCTCCAACCGACCTGCCTGGCATAGTAAGACCTAAAGGAACATGTGTTCCAGTCAATATAGCTCGGTTGAGTCATCACAATAAGCAAGCCGGCTACCACGTCAAGGTAGCTGTTACGGTCTGGAACTTTCCACAATGCTGATGAATATTTTATTTATAGATACTTAAAAAGAAAACTTGATTAGTAGCTGTTTTTTCGAGCTCAAACACAAAGCGCAAAGAGTTATTGCTGAAGGTCGGTTATACACAGGTTTTTAGTAATCAGTTTTTTAGATTTGAGAATATGTCTTGAAATTTTCTATCTTATATTTATAAAACTGATTTGGTATTTTCGAATACATTCAATTTTCAAAGATGAAAAAAGTGTCGATGAAGAACTAAAAGGACAAATTCAAGCAAATGAACTTAGAATTACTCTTCTAGTAGAACAGACTAAACGATTACGCAATGCATTACTGGTGATAAATGATAAAAGACAAAATATGAATAATAACCATAATAATGAGATACAATTCATGGAAGAAAATACTGAATTACTGTGAGTAGTTAAACATTTTAATTGGTGTACCTATAAATTGAAAGTTTACTTTATAGATTGAAATAAATTAAAACGTAGATTGAGAACTTAATAGCTTTGAACATAAATGAACAATGAAGCCTTATTCGGAAACTTCAAAGAAAAAAACGTTTTGAATAAAGTTGGACTGCATTTGAACTAAAAGATGCTAAGTTCAAGTCTTAATGTGAATATCAATACTGAGGTTCAAGTATGTTGAACTGACTAGTCTCTAACAGAACGAAACGAGTATCCTGGATCCAACTGCTAGATACTAATTATAACTTGTCATTTAAATGATTATATCAATATAATTCACTCATGGTCCACATATTTCAAATGGGAATGAACTATTGTAGCCCTTTCCATCAGCAATAGGAATAAACAAACCCTTACAAATGTAAATTTTAAGACAGTCAATTTATTGAATAGGGTAAAAAAAACTCTCGAAATTCGCGACTTGCAGAAAATTTCATATGCTTTGTCAACTATCAACTCTGACATAGAACCTTGTTAATTCTATCGACGTGTCCAGCTACACGATTGGAATACATGCGAGGTCGAAACTAAAAAAAATGAAGATTTGTCTAAAGAACAGTTCCACTATTTATGAATGTACACAAATTAGTTACAAACCCCAACTCATGAGGTATCTGTGGCGATTAACGCATTTGTATGTCTAGAAATCAAATGAATTCCTGTTACAATAACATAAAGAGTAGTCACATCATACGATAGCATAAATGACAGCTGGTAACTATTTCTAACGTTGACAGCAATTTACCAATAACCAAAATGGGAAGGTCACACAAATATGGAAGCCGTTGCATTCAAACGAGGATTCAAAAGATCTTCAAAACTGGAAATAATTATTACAAAAGTTGAAAGAGAGAGTAATTATCACAATAAATGCAGTAAATGTTATTGGTTCACGTAAATACCTTAGGATATTACACAATGATGAGTCAATTGAAGCTAGACCACCGTAAAGAACATGGAAGCACTGGACGGCCGTTCCCTCCTATCGTGGGATTCCTCAGCAGTGCGCATCCACGACCCCGCCTCGCGAGATTCGAACCCAGGACCTACCAGTCTCGCGCCAGAGCACTTGACCGATAGACCGCTGAGCCATCATCCATCGGTGGATGCGCACTGCTGAGGAGTCCCACAATATGACGAAACGACCGTCCAGTGCTTCTAGGTTTTCTACGGTGGTCTAGCTTCAATTGACTCATGATTTCAACTATTTATAAAAATTACTAAAAATCTTCACAGAAAACCCCCATATTACACAATGAATACGTGCGCATCACTTTATACTTTCAGAATTATTAGATATAGAGTTGTTTACTGAATATTAACAAGTAGTATAAGACAACACAAAAAAATGGGTTAACCGAAAAGGTAATAAGGACAGAAAAATAAAAATGAACTTCAGAAGAATCAACGTTAAGTTAAATTAACTGATTTTATACTTAGATACGAAGTCAATCTATGATCAAATAAATATTATCTAACTGAGCTACCAATTATAAATTGGTGTGTTAACATTTGACTTACACTCATTACGTAAGAGCCTGGTTATTTGTCTAATTGTTCACTATTTTCATAGCTGAAATCATGAGTCAATTGAAGCTAGACCACCATGGAAAACCTGAAAGCACTGGACGGCCAACTCGTCCTATTATGGGACTCCTCAGCAGTGCGCATCCACGGTCCCGCCTCGCGAGATTCGAACCCAGAAATCTCCACAAAACCCCTTCTGATCTATAATTGTTCACTCTCTAATAAGCTCCAATTTACGTTATAAAAGTAATTTGAATAGTCATTTTTATAACTGCAGAGCAATAAAATTCATTATTATCATATTCGTAGAGACCAGATCAAACCTAAATCACTTCTTAAACTACTGATCACACGTCTCTACAAACGAAATCATGATTAAATTCTGTGTAAACAGTATGATTATAAGCGTATATTGGTCATCTCCATTTAAACTTAAAATGCTATACAAGATGCTCAACTTTACTCATACTAATAAACCTTTATTAGATGTAACGAAAGTGATACAAACATCGTTGAAATACCACACATATAACTACTGTTTAAAACACCTTTTTCGATCACCAGATTAGTATACACAGTTCAAATACACTACTTATATTGTAGCTTACAGTAAATCATCATACTATTCATAAACATAGTACCAGAAAAACTGTTCAATAATTAACAAGATTTCATTGGAATTACAAACTGATTAAAGATAAATAATCATTAGAAACCTGAAGGACTGTTTCATCCTAGTATGGAACTCCCCAAAAGTGCTCACCTACCTTCCATAATAGGACAAAACAACCATTCAGTGCTTCCAGGTTTTCAATGATTGCCTAACTTTGATCGCTTCGTGATTTCGATTTTCATCTGATTGATTCGATTCAGTGATTCTAAATCTCTGAAACTTTATACTGACAAATAACAAGATTACATACTAAACTAAAAGTAATATTTCTCAATGCTCTGACTTTGGTTGGTCTAATACATAAGCTAATCGTTATATCTAAAACTAATCTATATAATCTGTTAACTGATCATTTCATTGAATACAATTTTACCAGTTAAATATTTTTGGGTGCCAGTCAACCGAAATACTGACTTCTTTCTCCAGTTTGTCATCAGTTAACAAAAGTCTAGATTGTATTCAAAAAAGTTTAAATAATTCAGATTATACAAATACTTTCAACTTTTATTATCATACTATGGTTAGAATCTCTCTCGGAGATAAGAAATATTCTTCAGTCATATACAATCAAAAATTTTGATACCATCCCAAATTTACGTTTCAATCCTCCTAACCTTATTCAGCATCATCTCAACTTGTTTCAAACCATACATAAATATTTTGTATGATTGTTTCATATAACTCGATGAAAACAGTTTCTACCTAAGTTGAAAATATAAAGATTACAATGATTTTCATTATCCAACAACGTGTTACTATAAACAGCCAGTCACAACGTAGAACTTCTTACGTACGTACATCAGTTCGAGTTGCCATACCACATTAACACAGAGATGAAGTTGTCGATTCAAATCCCATAGTGGTAGAAGTAGTAGGAGTATAATCAGAAATCCAAAAGATTAGGGTTTGAAGAAATTATTGAACGAGTATAGTACAGTGAAATAAATTTGGAAAGAGAAAAAGATAAAGACATGAGGAATTCAGAAGATTAGAATTTGGTAGAACACAAAGAGTGGATGCACCTTCGCCATTGCAAACGATCTTGATCCATGTCATTCAAGGTCTTTAACCATCGATTGCTATCATCTCACGGACACCAACCAGGTAGTCTACAGCTACCAACATCGCTTAGTCCACTTGTCAGTGACTTCATGGATTTGTGTCACGTTTTGGTCTGGCCGCCCCTAGCTTTCTTCCAACCTACTCCTACACCATAAAACATTGCACATCGGGGCAGTCGGTGGTTGAGCATACGTAACACGTGTCCCAGCCATCTCAATGAATGACGTTTAACTACTTCATCAATCGATTTCCCATCCTTACCTAGTACCCGTTTTCTAACATCTGCATTACTCATGCGGTGGTCCCAGGATATACGAGCAATGCTTCGAAGACACCTATGATCGAATACTAGTAGCCTACGAATATCCTCTACTCTTATCGGCCATGTTTCACTGCCATAAAGTAGGACGGAACGAATCGCTGCACAGTAAACACGTCCTATGGTTGCTAGACGGATATCTCGCCTAGACTAAAAATGACGTAAGTTGGCGAAAGCTAGACGAGACTTCCGTATTCGTGCTGAGATTTCGTCACACAACAATGTGTTACTATAAACAGTACAATTGGAAATGTTATTCATGATTAGTTGTATATTACTGACGAAATAATGGATCAATAAAACAGAGGATATGTAACAGATGAAATATTAGTAGGACAACTATTTTTACTAAAACAAATAAACATTTCACAAGCTTCTTACTGTATACATTAATTGTATTGGAAGTGCTTAATAAGATTAGGTTATGTTAAGTGAAGTAAATGTAGCCTTCACTATCTGTTACTATGGAAACTCAAGGTCTCTTAATTACTATGATAACCCTGTATTTTCTGTACATAAATGAATCCTGTAGTAAAGCACTTCCCTCATACTTCGTGCCTTTTCTCTGGTCTTCAAGTTACTGCATAGTTCTAGCTCGGGGATACGGAACTAGCTCAGGGAAGCAAATATAGCGTTCACAACCGGCAGACGTAACACCAACCAATAAGTAACTAGAGATTGAACTTGTGAAGATATTTCTTCCCCTAAGATATATAGTTTAGAGAATTCACTTTAAGAAACTCATAGAAATCCTTCTCTCAGCCCTATATTCTTATTCTTATTTTCGTCATAACCTCAGACTATTCACAGAGGATATGGAATTCTTAAACAGAATTAATTCATTTCATTCAGTAAAATATATATAACTTGAAAATAATCATTTCTATCTAAACTACAATTATTTAGATAGATGTTCAAACTCAAGGATCTATGAACAACTCTTTCAGTCTAGTGTGAAAATTATCAGCAACCTGGACCCTAATCTCCATATGAGATCAATACTAGATATCTTAATTAGTAAATTAGTGTAGTTTTAAATAAGTCAGAGCTTTTATAGACTTCTACAATCTTCTTAAAATTTGTATTATCAAGTTCTAGTGTCAAGGTAACTAACATTTTGTTCTTTATGTGTCTTTTTATTACTGTTACGTCCTTGAATCTGTCTACCCACTTTCGTGCCGAGTATAAATTGTCTAATGTAGATTAAGACCTTGACGCGATAGACTGACTGGCTTAACCTTGAGGCTAGCATGTGTGAGTTCGAAGTGGGGGTAGAGAGACAAAAACTACTATATCCCTGATTGGCTGGCAAGCACGAGAGAGAGAGAAAAGACAAGGACAACTGGAACACTAACCACTTTATTCCAATCTCGATCTAGCACTCGAATTCCGAATTCAGATTATTGTGAAAAGATACATGAATAAATAGATGAATAACCTGACCACAACGTACAATAATTAGGAAAATACAATTATGTCCAAACTGGGGGATTAAAATAGAAAATAGAGTACAAAAGGTTACGTCTAAATTACAATAGCTTTGGAACAGAAAAGGCTATGGCAGTGAGTCATACATCAAACGAAAGCTCATGATCTGTAAAATAGACCAGGGCCAAAAGTAAATGTTGCAGTTTTACAAGCTTTGAATTAAATGAAATAACGTCCCCAAAAATAGCTTCTGTAGTTTGTTAAGACTTCTTGTGTTGCGGTTCACATCAATTATGGAATTAAATACTCACTTTTCGCACCCTATTTTAATTAGAATAAATTGTCCTAACTTGTTTTCTTTTTTCTAGGTCACCTAAAATTGATCATTCAATACTTAGTGATGATGATAATAATAATGATGATGGCGATGCAACAAGTATCATTCGACCAAATTCTATCTCATCACTTGATAATATGTCATCAGATAATCGATCTGTAAAAGAAGATAATTGTCGTATACGTCAGAAAACATATACAAAATCCAATATCAATTCCAGTGAAGTAAATGGAAATCATCAAAATGTTCAATTATGGTCTGGCCCAAATGCAACAAGAAAAGGTATTGTATTTCTTAATTAGATTGTTTGATAATTTCATATTCGTGATTTTCATTATTAATTGTTTAATAAGCAAGGATGAATGTTGATTGGAAAGAACTGGAAAGGAAGGCACAGGAAAAAGTTGGATGGAGGATGCTGGTGAGCGGTTCATGCTCCTCGACGAGGGGTAACAGGCGTAAGTAAGTAATAAGAAATAAAAAGGACTGGTGGAAACGACTGTACATTGAACAACTGTTTAAATTTGACGTTCCAAGTCATATCTTAATTTTATGTTCTCATGTTATTACACCAGATATTTCGATTTTCTACACATATAGAAGACCCAATTAAAGACGAACAAAATATAAATGATCAAATTATCACAATTTTATGATCAGCATGTGATAACAAGTCATATGAATGATCTACGATCTTTTTGACAAAGATACAAGCTGATCAATACAGAACGTAAAACGTTAGAGTACAATGCAATATAATGCAGTCTTTTATTTCGAAGGTCTGTCACATTATAAGCCTTGTATATATCTATCAGACTAACAGTCTAATAAAGGAAAATACAAATATATTTATCTGTTTAAACGAAATATAATCCAACTGGTGAGAACAAATGGCCTAGTAAGTGTAGATGGCGTCGATTCGTGATTGACTGTGATCAGCACTACAGTAACATTACGCGCCCAAAATCGACTTGATTTCTTTGATAACTCGCAAACCAGAAGGCTGTAATTAGTCCAGATAAATTATATTTATCGGCGAAGTCGTGGTATCGAAAGAATACCGAGACGGGCCGACGAGTACAGGCAATAAGGGCAGAGCGTAAGAAAGTTCGAACTAAACAAGATGGATAGCGGAACGAGAAGTGACTTTGATACAGTTAAACAACATCAAGTACAGTAAAACAATCGCTGGTACAATTGGTTATAATAATAATTGTCTCCATTATTCCAATCATGTTCTCGTCGAGAAAAGCAGGTCACTACATATGTAATACAAACTATAATCTAATAAAATATATATTGCGTATTGTTCAAGCCAGATGATTGTGTTCTTTTTTTGGAATTCAAAAACACTTTCTAACGACAGATTGATATGACCAGGAATACTTCTTTATGAAAAAAACTTTTCTCAGTTGTTAGGCTTTAGAATAAAGGCGTAAAATATTTAATTATGTAAAGTCTCAAGATTCATCAGAACACAAACACCGTGATCTCTGTGTTTTAGTGACTAATTAGATTGTATTGGTATTTTACAAAGTTACTTTCTCAATTTTTAAGAAAGCAGGTTTTTATTTCAGTTTAATTAGAAGAGGACTTACATGTCCTAGCTTTTCTGTGTAATCAGAGTTCATAGTGTTTAATCATTTGACTTCCGATAGTAGGTTGTGTTGATTCGGCATGGAGTATAATTCAACTATCTTCTTATTTGAAGGTTCAACTTCCTACTTGAGTGTGATAGCCAAAAGTGGGTAGAGAGATTTTAATGGCAGAGCCAAATCAAAAATATATCCACAACTCATTCATAAATAAGTACCTGTCTTTCTCAGAAAATTAAGTCACATTTTCAACCAAAATTATGTCCGTTTCTATGTAAAATTAAACCAAATTTGATTAGTAGTAAGCACCGATCGGCATCCCTCACTCTAAATTTGGCCTTCAACTGGTGTGTCTAACTTGCCCAGTGTGACACCTTTTCTTTCTGAAGGGACAATCTGAATTTCGGATCCAGATGCAGGAGTTGATGTAAGGGTACAACAAGCTGTGGTTAAGAATCAAATTAGTACATCCAGTGTTTACACAATAAGCGCCGTTAAAAGAGACTACACAGTCATTTATTCGGTTATTTAAATGAAATACTTAGAAATATAAAGCATACAAATGTACAAGCGAGGACAATATCATATGCTCTTGTGGAATATTACAAAAAGCGAATCGTTCTTCCGTTATATTTATCACGTGTTATGTCAATATTCAGTTTCAATAACTTCCATAGAATTACATGGTATGGAATTACATGGTATCTGTTGTAAACGTAAGGATACTTGTTATAACGATAATGTTTCTGGTTATAACAGTCCTTTCACTTTCTACACGTATGTGGGACGTTAATTTACCTTAGACGAATACCTACACTAGATTCCCACCCAGTGTCTATTCTACAGGACTTCAACACAACTCAGATCAAGAACACGAGATTAGCCTGACTATAACGTCAATATATTTCCACACCAAAATCCGACACAATCCAACCACAAGGAATAGTTTGTCGATAATAATTATAAATAATGAGGATAGGGGAATATGTAACACATATAACACCTGTCACACTAACCACATGTCTGACTCAGCAAAATAACCAATCATTGTCATTCTCGCCCACACATCAATATACTTTTATTCTACTTACACAAAACGCTTGACTTTAAATTCACTAAAATAAGATTACAGTCCTTTTGGAGATTTAACAGTAATATAAATCTGTCATTATTATGAATCTTATGCTTGAACTGCTTCATATCAATCAACGGCTCTAATTATTATCCTACACAATTATCCTTAATTTCACTATTTTTTTATTGGTACCATTTATCTTCAAAGGATCAAGTCGCCCGCAATCTAAAAAAAGGAAATAAAGATTGTGCTAAGAAGAGACAGATCAAATTCATTCAAAGAGCTGGAATAAATGCTTACGTATATTTTCCATGATTTATAAACATGTGTTGTAAACTTTAGACTTAAAAGAGTTATTGTGTATATTTCAATAGTTTTTAAATAAAATCAGTTTAATTATTTGTGTATATTCAAAACAAACCTATTCTAGTCACATAAAATAGTGCCTATGAATTTACGTCAATATAATACACCCAAATTAGTTAATATTAGTACAATAAGTTGCAGTTAACTAATGCTTCAAAGATGCTTTATAGTTGAAACTGCCAAATATTTTTCTTGTTGGTTTGTTACTCACATTGATTTTAGTATTTTTTCAAACATCCTATCAAAATCATAAACAGTGAAAGAATCATTAGAAGCCTAAGGTAACAGAAAACACAATACAGCTATGTTGTTTATGAAAGATTGGATAAGAATAAGTTAATCTAACTCTGAAAAATTAATCCTTGATATAAGTGAACCTGTATTTTAATACCTGTAAATTGAAAGTCATATTGTCAAGGAGGCTGATAATAAACAAGAAGTATCTGTAATCTCTTTCATATGTTTTCTTCAGTGGTTTCGACATACTTTCCAATCTTTAGCAATATATGTATCATAGAGATACCCTTCCCTTCAATTCATACAAACCCTCCCTCACATTAGACACTGTCACAATCAAAGAACTATGTCTTTGGTCTGCTCAATAAGCTGGAAGCAGGCGAATCCACGAGATCCGATTAAATGCATCCTAGGTTGCTATAAGAACTAGGAAATTTCATCACGAGTCCCTTAAGCATATGTTTTAATCGATCTGTAACCCTGGATCAAAAACGAAATGACTGATGAAACTCCATGATATGTTCTGTCTTCAAAAAGGGTATGAGACATAAACGTAAGGATTATCGACGCGTAAGCCTAATCAGCGTGGATGTTGAAAGTTAAGAAAATATTGTTCGGGAGGAGTTGTCTAAGTATTTCAAAGAAAACCTGATTCTTCCTGAAAAACAGCATGGCTTTAGAACAGGTAATTCCTGACTCACTAACATTTTAGTAGCTCATGAAAGTTGATACGCTCCTAAAGATCAAAGGTTACCTATAGATTTAGCCTACATTGTCTTCAGCAATGCTCTTGACAAAGTTCCTGAAAACTGACGGCTATATAAGTTACTCAATATGGGGATTGCAGGCAATTTACCGGTGTATATAAAAGAATTTAACATACAGTACGGGTGAACTCAAAGTTGTCTAGCTGCAAAATTGTGCTTAGTAGAGCGCCTCAGGGCACATTTTTGATATCATTGTTGTTCCTCTCGTATTTAAGTGACCTTTTTTGTCTCCTGTCATCATCGGTTTTGTTATATGCTGACGATGTCAAGGTATGGAGAGAGATGATAGTTTACAGATTTGAAATAACCTAGATTAATTATCTGACTGGTCTAAAATTCGGCAGTTTCCGATGAATACTTCCAAGTGCATTATGGAGCATAATAGTCACCAAGGTCATATATAAACAAGGTGAGTAACATTGCGCTACCTGTTATGCAGACACAATGACTTAGGAGTCATCGTTAAAAAAAGTTAGAAACTATGGCACACCGCCGTTTGACAGCCGCCAAAGGTTGTGGAAACCCATGGTCAATACGTAATGCTTGTATTCATGTCGATGCTAAAACCTTTCTGACTTTGTACACAGTATTCGTGTTTCCTAAATTCAAGAACTGCATTCAAGAAGCTAACCGCTGTCTAAAATGATTCAGTGAGCTGTCAGAAAAAGTTCAGAAAAGTATAATCGGGCAGATGCCCGGAGTAACTCGGCCTCTGTGCGACGTTCGGCTTACCTAACTCAACCTATTTCCATTGTCGTGTAGAAGAACCAGAGACGACTTCATCACAGTTTTTAAAATACTTTGTGATAAATTCGCATCTGATAAGCCTTCGTTCTTCTTGTCTTCCAAGACAGAAAATGAACGAGACATTCAAAAAATGTTGCATGCTCAGAACAAACTACTTTTCAGATGAATACCGACTTTCCCATCGAATCATCAACAAATGGAATTAATCGACCCAACACATGACTGAGGCTTTATCTGCCGATCCTTTCAAGAAAAAGTTGGATCAATTGAGGGATCACCATTGACAGAACTAACACAGGCCACCTAGCCTCCTATCCTTTTCAAACTGAAACTAAAATTATTCGGTTTGTGTTAACTCATCACAAAGATATTGAACACTAGATTGAACAAGCTTGTTGTCGACAAAATTTAAACCTGAAGGTTCGTAAGTCATAGTTAATTTCAGTTAGCATGTAACTTATATTCATAACCGACCAACTCCTCAATATAGTGTCAATCTCACAATAAGATACCAAGTTATTTACATGCAATGTCTATTAGTGTTTTAGCTCGTTAAAAATTTATGACGAGCTAAAACTTATCAATTGGTCTCTCTAAATCGCACTTTTCAATATTAGGTGTTGGTTTCAATACGTCTTGTTTGTCTTTTCGGGTGCAGTAATCATGTTAGTGGGTAGCTCATTTCACACATTTTTCCACCACTACATATATATATATATTCCTATTTATCTCTCATTATCTCCTTTATTCTCTCATTGGCCTCATAAAGTGTAGGGACTCTATGGTCCTACATATACTTCAGCTTGTCCTCTTTTCAGTTATTCTTAGATCTCAGGTTATGGAAATAGTGAAATACCCAAGGATGTTCTTCCTGTGTATTTTGTATACTCCCAAAAACAATAAATAGTGTATAGCCCCCATATTTATGGATGTTGTCTTTTTCTTGAGTAAAAATATGAATCAGCGTCGCCCGTTTTCGCATTAGTAAGTTCTGAAATCTGATTGGTTTAGGGACCTATAAACCCCTTCCATTAGTTGTTCAAGAGCAGCAACACTGCAGACGCTTGTTGTCCGAAGGAAACACCTTACTGACATCACACTCTTCTACAGTCAGCAGTACGACGTTGCCCTCGGTTCTTAGTTTGCTGCTTTTAGTCTTACCGTTCTCCAACCGACCTGCCTGGCATAGTAAGACCTAAAGGAACATGTGTTCCAGTCAATATAGCTCGGTTGAGTCATCACAATAAGCAAGCCGGCTACCACGTCAAGGTAGCTGTTACAGTCTGGAACTTTCCACAATGCCGATGAATATTTTATTTATAGATACTTAAAAAGAAAACTTGATTAGTAGCTGTTTTTTCGAGCTCAACCACAAAGCGCAAAGAGTTATTGCTGAAGGTCGGTTATACACAGGTTTTTAGTAATCCGTTTTTTTTTGTTTGTGTTAGCTTGGCGGTTCTGATTCTTTATCTTCTGTGGAAATAGTCCGGTGGTCAAGGTGTACTATTTTTTAAGTCACCTTTTTCAGACCCTTTAGTTTCACTCTGGAAAGGCATCACCACTGGAGAAAGGCTGGTTATTCAAGAGAACCCTTACAGCTGACTTACTTAACTACAATTAGTAGCATAACTTCACTTCGAACCTGGCGTTTCTCTATAACTAACACATATCAACGGATGTCATTTTTATCACTTAAAATAGCTATTCAGCCTGGGAAAGTTATATCTTCCGTTGAAATCTGTTTAGTTCCCTTTTACTTGGAACTTCGCTTTTTTTTCTCCTGCCGACTAAATACGAATTAGTTACGTATGAATCCTTTCTATTTACGCTAAAAATCCGCACTCTATATTTATTATATTTAAAGTTGTTTATTCCTGTTCCGTGTTTTACGAGAAGCGTAATAACTCTTATGGTTCAGAAAACCGTCCGGTCAGAAAATGCCTACGAGGGTCTAACAGTGTACTCTTAAACATTAAGGTGCTGATTTTACTGTCTTTAAGAACAAGGGGCATCAAGATTATAACAATCGTATGTCAAAATTGTATGACTGTTCTACAAGTTATTCCCGAAACGTTAACAAACAACTGTTTGAGAATTCAGTGTCACACTATAATTGCAGAAGTCCCAGGCTATTGTGAAATATCTAATAAAGTCATTTCTTGAATATTACATAAAGTGTGAAGCCTACCAAATCACGTATAACCTCATATTTGCCATTATGAACTCATATTATGATAAGTTCAAAAAGCTCTTATATTATAGGTTAGCCAGTTTTGCATTTCGTTTTCTATCCGAATAGATTACGCGAATTTGTCGTGAACGTCCGTATTTTGCGGTGGTGCCTCATTCCAAATCTCTGGGTTTCATATGGTAAGGATTTTGTTGCTGGTTTATCACTTCAGTTGGTCCTAGTGATCGGTGATTTCCACATTCCTGATAGGAAACGTTCTTTACATCCTGCTTTTAAGACTCTTTTAGCTCCTGGAAAAATACAACATATATTATGCACAGGAAACCTTACTTCGAAATATATGTATGACTACTTAAAACTTATTTGTGGAGATGTGCATGTTGTGAAAGGCGACTTTGATGAGGTATGTTTTGAAAGCTATTGTCATCAAATTTTAGGCTTTAGATTTCCCTCTTACAAAGGTTTTAAGCGTTGGAAATTTTAAGATAGGACTTATACATGGACATCAAATAGTTCCTTGGGGAGACCAAAAAAGTTTAGCTGCTCTTCAAAGGGAATTAGATGTTGATATATTGATCAGTGGTCATACTCATAAGTTTGAAGCCTATGAATATGCTGAACATTTTTATATCAATCCTGGTTCTGCTACCGGTGCATATAGCCCTTTTGAAAAGTAAGTACTACTTCTTTACTTTGTCCAATAACGACTGAAATTCGCACATTTGCGTTGGAATTCAGTATTTATTAATGAATATGAATAATCAGTAGATAAATAGCGTATGAACTAAACAACCTGGATTGATGCATGCTTTGTTGTTCAGCATTAACGAATCAGATGCGTATATTTCCCTTTTCGGTTCTTTTTTAATAGAAACCCGCAACCTTCATTTGTTCTTTTGGATATTCAAGAAACTGCGATACAGTTATATGTGTACACTCTAGTCAATGATGAACATAAAGTTTCTCGCATAGAATACCAGAAAAACAAACGTTTGTGACTATGAACAGAATGTATTCATTGTATTTTAGCAATATCTTGTAATTTATTTCACTTCTTCGCATTATAATAACACTGATTTTGATTATACATTTGTAACACTTCAGTGTTTAATTTTAGCATAACAACGAGAGGAATAGCACAATCCCTCGTAATCGTGAATGAGAGTTGACAGTTCAGAGTAAATTGGCTTCCATGTTGGTTTTAGTTTTCTCTTCATAAGACTCCAGATTATATAACCTATTATTCAAAATAAAAAGTTATCCGGGATATTTCTCGTCATTCCGCTCGTAGTAATGTGATAAAGTAGTCTCTCCTCCATGTTACCTTGTTTTTCTTTGGAATTTTACGCTTCCTTTCTAAGTCTGCTACCTAACATTTCAATTTTACTGAAGCATATCTAAGATTAAATTAATAATTTACATATCGTGTCTAAGACTAAGTGATTTTCAGTCATCAACGTGGTCTTTGTGAATTCTCTCCGTGCAAGCTCATATGTCATTAAAGAATTTTAACAAACTTCGACCTATTCAAAAATTGGACTAATGACTATACTGTGTCATATTATAATTGCTCAACTACCTGCAATGTATCACGATATCGAACCCTGCTGAATAACTAGAAATCTTCAAACATTATTTACCAAAACATATTGTAATCATCTGTAGATGGCAAATGATATCATTCTGACATATTATTTGCGGAGATATTGGACCTACTTTTGTTTCTTATTTATTTAGACAGTCAGCCGAGCAGAATAGCTGAGACCGGTTATCCACAAGATTCTCAGCACTGATATCTATCAATAACCCGATTTGGTTTTAAACTCACTTTTGTAACGAACTAATTATAATGAAGTGACAGCTAAGACTAACTTTATTAATCTACGGTTACTGATGTTTCGCATACAGTCAAACTTATCCACACTATTGTGCAACACGAAAGTGCATGAAAATCAGTTTCTAGTGCATCTGTTTTAATATTATCTGGTATAACGTAATAATGTCACTATTAATATACGTACATATACTTACAAGTTAAGGTCTTGAGACTAGTGTGTAAAGGTTTAAATACGAGACAGTAAAACTACATAGTGGTAACTCGTATTTGATTTCTCAACATCAACAACACTACTGTAGGTAGTTTCTTGTATTACGTTGTAAATGGCGTTTGTCTAGGTGAAAGTGATGTACTGCATAAGTAAGAACGAAGATTTTACTTCGGAACATGACTTAACATTCCTAAGAGTTAACTCGTACTATAGAAGACTTTTTTGGTTTCTGTTTCCTTAATGTGAGGGACTGGCTAATGAAGATATTCGTAATAGGTACTAATTAATATAAGGACTGAAAATTATGAATACCAAATTTAGATACTATAGCACTTTTCATAAAGACGGTCACATTGAAGTAGTAGATAGGCGATGCGAACACACAGTAGCCAAGTAATGTTGTGACCTATTATTTGGTTTCATGTGATGGTGGCCCTGTAATTATTACTTACAAAACCGCACTAGTAAAGCAGAACTGTTGGTCAATTTCCCTCCTCCAAAACGGCAAAAATAATAGATACAAAAGTGAGCATAATTGGAAGTCGTCTAAACACTAGGAATTGTAGGATATGCATTTGGAGGTCAGTTATATGCTTTGAATTTGTTTTAGTTTACGGTAGTGCTTGTCTTGTTTTTATTACCCTGATGATCTATTTTTTGCCTAATGACAGGTCAATCTAATCTAGTACTTCAATGGCAACTAGTGACGAAAGTTTTGTCATTTTTGGGTTCTTGTGTCGCGTGAGTAATTTCTCAGTGTAAGAATAGAATCGACAATTAAGTAACTTTGAAGTAAAGGAAATGTTGAATTTATGAGTTGTGAAAGCAAATCTATGAATTTGTTAACTTAGTCCGTAGATTTTAACGCTTTTTGACCATAAAGTCTTGAGTCAACTACACAGACCAATGATTTCTCCTTACAAATTGTGCACTTTACAATGACTGGAGGTGTATGTGTATTATATCAACAGAGAAAGCTGAATAAATGATACAGATATAATCTGCCAAGAACGAAGTAGACTCGGTCTTGCTTAGTTTATAATATTTGGTGAAGTTGTACTAACGATGTCACCAACTAATTACAGTCTGCTATTAATGCAATGTGATTTATAGAGCAAAAATAATCCATGCGTCCCTACATATGAACTTTGTGCAATAAGAGATAGCTTTTCACCCGGATTGTAAACCTTAAAACAGTGAAGCTTAAAGTGAGGTGTTATATATATACTGCGTCTTGGGACTAGAGAGTACTCGTTATGTCATAATCTAGTTTTTTATGGTAGAGAATCATGCTGCACATCAGATGAAGGATGATGTCAGCGACAGGGACGTCAAAACTGATTGACTGTGATGACAATATTTGCAAAGCATCGATGGAATGCGAAGTGTTAGGGTATCAAAAGGGACTACCACTGCAATTCTGTACAGAAAGTAGCAATATTCCTTGAGTTTTCTTAAACCTTGTAAAGTGAACAATTCGGCAGTGTGTTGCAATTTCCAACTCAGCAGTTAACCTTTGGATTGACCACTGACGTTACTTCTACCTAACTCTAGTCAGTATCTGTGTTTGGATACGTATGAAGACGTTCCAGTGACTACAGCCATTTTTGGTTCTTAATAGCGATCACATTATATTTTCAATATATAGAGAATTCATAATAACGACAACTTTAATTTACTCATAACTGCAATGTTCAACGAATGGTTACTTTTTACGGGGTTGGGATGAAGTGCTGGCAGGGACGAGTCAAAGACGGTAGGTTATAAATGAATAATAGTTTTTTATCATTATAAAATAGGCCACTATCTTTACATTGAAACGTAGAAATCTGTGACTTATTACTGTGATTATTCAAACACTCCATGAAAACTAGTTTGGTTAGTAAAAAGTAACCAAAAAATTTTTGAACAAATGAATTCAACTGGTTCCAATTTTGTATGTTGGAGAAGCTACTCACAGTCTATTTCATTTAAATATACAAGATATATACAGTAAAAATGGGATAATCGTTCATTCATCTTTTTCATAGTGAATAGTAACTTTACGCTTCTTTCTAGGATTTGTCAGGACAAGATTATGTTCAGCTTCCTCTTCTTCACTTTCCTCATCAATCACTCCGATATCCTCAATGTCTTCAACATCAGATCCTGAAGTGTAGACGATTTCTTCTTCATCCTCCTCGTATTCCTCATCAGATTCTTCTTCATTTATTTCTTCAGCTTCTAGAGCCTTTTCAAAGGCAGACTGATCTATGTTATATATTTCCTTGGAAGATGTTGATGCGCGTAATCTTTCTAAGAGTTCTTGTTCTACAGTACGTTCGATGCGTGCCACACGTAATGCTTTTGCTTCTCTTCTTAATTCACGTTTTTCAACCGTACGATTAATAGGTTCCAACTTTTTTTGTCTTGATAAGGCTAAACGTCGCATATTTTTAAGATATTCTCTTGTACGGAAGAATCTCTGCTTAACACGGCTTATTATCCATTTATCCCAATACAGTAAGTGCTCTTTGATTTGTTTTAGAGCTTGATCTTTATTTCGGCGCAATTTAATCCGCTCCCATTGTTTACCAGGATAAGGTATGCGTTCAGGTTCCTTCACAAACAAGTAGATGATACCATCTCTTTCTTTTATAGTGGCATACTGTGAGTTAGCTAATGGGCAAGAATGTCTATTACACAATCCTGTCACATTGTCATCATTTCTGCAAAACCTTCCTGTTTTAGTTTTGACAACAAAAGAACAGAATGAATGGTTGATAGTGTGCCATATTACGTCGTCGTTATTCATTTCTTGAAAAAGTCTAAAAAAATGGCTAAAACATGAATAACAACCATATTTAAACAAAAAAGTACATTTTATTTACATTTATTTGTTTTTATATGTTAAGTTAAAGGTCTATCTATTCCTAAATGAATAGTTTGGACAAAGAACTCAATAACTGTGTAGTATTGTTTCGACATCTTATACCAATGATAAAAGTGCGATTCATTTACCAAGTGGATATTCGGATATTTTGAGATACACTTCTTGTGTGTAAGGTACTTGACTTGAAGTAGATTGATGTTTAGTACAGTCCGACCGAAAATTTATAATATACACTGAAAAAGCCGGAAAATCTTCCGCATTTCTGGCAAGACTTTATCAGACAAAACTCCATCAAAGTTAATGAGATACTTTTGAGATAAGTGAAGTGATTGGAACTCTTGGCTGCTTTACTTCCTATTACTAGTTTGGTCATTGATGTGGTCCCGTTTTCAAGCAGTATTCTGCATTTAGATGAATCGAAACGCACCACAAACACACTAATATTATTGATTGAAGCAGTCAGAAGACTTTCAATGTCTTCACCAAATGCCCTGGTACGGCCGTAAGTGGGGAGCGTCTGTTCTCTCTCCCGAAATCCTCTCAAATAGCCACGTGTATACAGCCACTGCCAGGGAAGTCCAACTCACTGCCTTTACGCGGCATTACTGTTGTTTATGAAATCGAGAGGACGAAAAGCGAATGTCCGGCACTTTAACCGGGTTGGTGGAGACGGAGAGCCCACCTAAGGGAGTTTAAAAAAAGCCCTAATTTTAAACAAATGGCACACATGGGCTCCGGTATGCTGAAGGAACAAATGGCGAATAAACCAATTGTTGATCATCGGCTACCATGGGACTGTATATCCTGATGTTGCTTCACTGCTTTGTGGATCATACCTTTAGATCGAAGGCTCCGGATGTTGCCGCGTAAGAAAACCGCCTGCTTTTGTCTGAGCACCCGAACAGTATCACAGCCCACACACAAATCAAGTGACTTGTGTGACGCATACGTCTTCGGTGCCTTTTTGTGTCAATATTCAGGTGTTGAAGTAATAAAATAATAAATAGCACGTCCTTTTAATGAGAAGCTGTTGACATGTTGTCTCAGCACTTCGAAGGAACTTACCGTCGTAGACAGAAATCTCTTGAGTAAGATGAGGTGACATTTTCAGGGTTGACATTTTATAAACCCCTTCCTTCAGTTGTGCAAGAGCAGCAACATTGCAGACGCTTGTTGTCCGAA